TCAAACGATCTAAATGCCAGAGTTGTAACAGACATTAAAAAGACATTAAGAATTGTCAACCTAATCTTGCAAAGCTTCTTCTCCAATAATACTGTATTGCAAACTAGGGCATACAATTGCTAGAGGAATTCTCTAATATAGCTCGTCAGCCTGGAATCTGTACTATATATTGGATATTAACACAATTGAGAGTCCAGAGGTATTTCACAAGAAGAGTACTCCACTTCTCTACTCACAACAGAATACCCTATGCCACCAGGCTTGAAATTATGGGTTTTGAGAATCTAAAACTATGCCACCTACAGTCTGACCTAAGCATAGTACACAAAATTATCTGCTACAATGTCCTACCTGTCAATGACTACTTTAGCTTCAGCCACAATAATAGATGAGCAAACAATAGATACAAACTCAAGGTAAACTGCTCCAAGCTCGATTGCAGAAAATACAATTTCAGCAAAAGAGTGGTCAATACCTGGAATGCTTTACCTGACTCTTGTTACATCCCCAAGCCCTCATAATTTTAACCTAAGACTGTCTACTGTTGCCCTCACCCCATTCCTAAGAGATCTGTAAGGGGGCGTGCAAAGGCACACCAGTGTGCCTACCCTCTCTGTCCAACTGCATCCATTTATTTGTACCCATTTACTATATTCATATTTATGTTTATACTTATACCTGTTATCTTTCATAGGTTTGACAAACTAAATAAAATAAAAAAGGTTAAAAGGCTAAAGAGTTTGAACAAACTTTTTTTTATTATTTTACATGAAGCCATTGCCTGTGCACAATCACAGCATTGTGTAATGCTTGATGCACAGTAAGGTCTTATTCTTGCGGCATTTTTAAGTATTTAGTTTTGCTGACAGGACTACTGAGTTCTAAGTGGGACTCCAGAGAAAATGATGTCAGATGCAGCCTCTTGCACAATGTGAGGCAGCTATTGGCAATGACTTAGTTAGGGAGATCTGAAACAAGTTTGTGCCTTTCTCAACCATTTTGACTGAACATCGCCATTTCAATGACAAGGAAAGAGCCTTTTGTTAAAGGCATCAAAGAGCAGCTGAAAATGGCCTATTACCTTTTGTGAATGTCAGCTCTCCTTTTACGATGAGTGATAGGTAAAAGCGAGGAGAAAAGGAGATTTCTGGTAAACATGGAAGCCTTAAGAGAGTTGTCTCAAAGACAGAGTCATTTTCCTCAGGTACAAAAAGAAATAATGATGGGTGATTTGTTCTCCCAGTATAGAATTTCCCACCAGCAACAAATAACTAAGCTGGCTCTTTCCTAAGTGGAACAATTTCTCTTCATACTGTTTTATACTCTACAACAGTTCCTTTCCTTCTTGATAATCAAAGCTTTGTTCAGGACTCCCAAAGACTCCATCTTCCCTGCCAACTTTCCTCATCAATGTCAAGAGTTTGGGGCTGAAAGGAGAGCAAGAGTCAGAGCAAACACATCTATAGCCTTCCACAAATGGAATGCTGTTAACACCATAGGAGAGGAGTGATAATGATATACAGTAAAAGTAGTATATTTTTTGGTGTAAACTTCATGTTTCTAATGGCCCTCTCATAAAATATATACCATATTTTTTGGAATATAAGACACACTGAAGTGTAAGACGCACCAAGGTTTTGAAGAGGCCAGTAAAAAAAAGGTTTTGCACTCTGCAAACCTCCCCAAAACGGCTCATTTTTCACAAAAATGAGCCTGTTTTTTTCCCCAAAAGGAGGCATGAATAGCCTTTAGGGGGTTTGCAGAGTGCTCCGGGGAGGGGGGGGTAAAATACAAGCAAAATATGGTCTGTTTTTCACAAAAACGGGCTCATTTTTCATTAAAAAGGGGCATGGATAGCCTTTAGGAAGCTTATAGAGTGCTCCTGGGGGTTTGGGGGGGGGATAAAATTGAGCAAAAAAACAGGCCATTTTTTTGCTCATTTCTGCCTTCCCCAGCCCCCAGGAGCTCTCTAAAAGCTTCCTAGAGTCTCTGCATGGCCACTTTGGCCATGGGGCAGAGTTTTGGGAGGCAAAAATGCTGTATTCAGTGTATAAGAATCATCCAGATTTTCAGCCTCTTTTTTGAGGGAAAAAGGTGCATCTTATACTCCAAAAAATACGTTATATATAAAGTCATACCCTCAGGCAATGGATCAGGAGTTGCCTTTCTCAAGAGCGTCCATCTTTACTACAATTTAACAGCAATGGAAGTCTTTTTGCAAATATTTTAAAAAAGAAAACCAGTGAGGTATGGATTTAGTTTAGTTTAATTTACTTTATTGTCACAGCACCTCGTACAACAAAATTAAATGCCAACTTCTGTGTACATTATAACTATAAAAATAAAACACAAACACACATTTTTCACGTGCTATGCAATTGAATTGAAAATCCCTGATACTGCATTAGTATCGCACTATACAGTAGATTTCAGTATAGTTGCTGCTCTGGGATAGAATCTGTTTTTCAACCTATTTGTCAACCTTGTTTTTATTATCCTGTACCGTCTGCCAGATAATATTAGTTTTAAAAAAAGGGTGTCTAGATTGAGATGGACCTTTAAGAATGTTTTGAAGTTAATTAAGGCAGAGGGTGCCATAAAGCTGTTGCAAAGAGGGGAGCTAATGATCCTCTGGGGAATAACATTGACCCTCTGGAGGGCTGTCCTATCTGCCATTGTGTAATTGGCGAACCATACATATTTCTTATGTTAATCATAATCAAGTCAACATGAGTTGGTTGAAGATTATACATGCTGGATTGATTTACCTTTCATTGTTCATTTATTTTGTTAGTACTTTTAAAGATCCTATACTTTAAGCAAAGCTCAAGGGAAGAAGCCTTCTCATACTGTAGATCGTGTCAACTCTGCAAGTATGAAAAGCTGCAATGATCAATGAAGAAATGCAAGTTAGAAAGAAATCACATACCATCAACTCACACCTGCAGTACCCTTGGCCATAAATGAAGTTGAAAGCAATCCCGCCCCAAAATTCAACACTTTCCAACTTAAAAACAAAACAACAACTTTATCCCTGACAATGAGGCATAAAAGTAAAAGCTTCTTACAGAAAGGAAGATAGGAAGAAAGGAAAGAAATCTGATGACATATTTGGGTGCAGAAGCTCATTTATCACACTTTCATGCCGTATAGTAGGGACATAACAATTATGTAATTGTCTTCAATATGGAAGTTATTAGAATTATTTTACAGGTTAATGCCGTAATTGTAAAAAAAAATGGTAAGCAGTTTACAAGAACTACACAAAGGCAAAAGCTGTACTTCTTGGCAATAAGAGGAGTCAACTATTGATATTTTTCCATTCCATTCTGCAGGCTGTTATCCAGTGATTCTGTTTAAACCCAGCAAATACACTGTCACTTTTCTGCCAGAATATTGCCTACTTGCATATCTTTCTCTTTCTCAACTATTTTGGCTGAACACTACCAAAAAAGCCAATGCAATCCTAGGTTACATTAGCAGAGTGATAGAAAGATCATGTGAAGTATTAGTACTCATTTATAAGGCCTTGGTAAGATCAAACTTGGAATACTGTATCCAGTTTTGGTCACAATAGATGATGATGATATATATGTATGTATGTATGTATGTATGTATGTATGTATGTATGTATGTATGTATGTAGGTAGGTAGCAAGGGTGGGTTTCAACCGGTTCGCGGCGGTCCCTGCGAACCAGTTGGTCAGCGAACCCAGAAGTAAGTAACTTCCGGGAACGGCGAACGGTGCACCCGCCCGCCCGCGCTCCTTACCCGGTTTTGACGAGTTCTGTGCTTCCACGCATGCGCAGGACGCATACAGCGCCTGCACGATCCTCCAGGAGCAGCTGGAGCATCGCACAGATGCTAGTACGCATGAATGCGCCGCACGCGTGCACGTGTGCACCGCGCACGTGCACGAAGACGCCGCCAGCCCCGTTCCAACCGAACCGGTTGGAACAGGGCGAGAAACCCACCCCTGCTGCGCGCGCACACACACACACACACACACACACACACNCCACCCTGACTTCCCAGAACCAATACAAGGTATAAATCTTTAACAAAAACAGTTTAAAATATACTTAAAGAGAAAGTTGTTGCTTTTTATAGTTAGGTTAGAACACTTTTTTGCTATTGCGAGTTTTGCTGATCAACATGTTTTTTTTTCCATGTGTGCTTATCATATGGAAGTATGATGGTGGTTCTAATATTTCAACAAGAAGGCACAAGGGTACTTAATGTAGAATTTTGTACATAATATGTGATGTAGCAGGTATTGGCAAAGAGGAGTGAATCCCACAGTTGAAAGTAATTTGGGGACTTCTCAAAGAAATACATTTATTTCTTCGCTGTTGACCTCCTTTGAGGACAGTTGAAGGCCCTGTAAACTGTAACGCTATGTGGATAATATAATTACTTATAAAGATTCACTGTTAAGGGATAATCTTGTTAGCTGTACAAACATTGTTTTGTTTTGAAAGACCAGATACTTTAAATAGTGACCTCACTCATAAGGCAAATCAGACTCTTGTTTTTCATAGATTATACGTTCAACAGAAATGTACATCTCTGGAACCTGACTATAGCAAATATCTTCAGTGTCAATGCCTACTAATAATCAAGGATGCATCTGCACATTGCATTTATAATATTTGCACATTTCACTTTTTTTAAACTGTCATAATATTAATTTAACCTATGGCAGAAAACAATTTCACTTTTGGGAGCATTAGGAGAACCATCAGATTTTCTGGAGTCCTCTGGCCTTTAGAAAAAATAGGACTTAGATTAATTCTGGGGCTCTAAATTAAGAATTTCATAATTCATGGCTTGGTTGCTTTATTAACTGCAGTATTCTAATAAAGTCTATCTTTGGTATGCAAATGCATCTGTGTTCATTATAAGGTTTTAAATGATATGAAAATGTATCTGATTTCATCCTAAGATTTAAATAAACTTATTTAATGCTACTTCCTCTTTGGGGGACTATTTAACAATATACAATTTTGTACATGTTTACTTAAAAGCAGATGTTTCATTTTTCTTGTTGAGATACCTATGTAAGTATTTAAGATTACAGTCTGAGGTTTTCTTGAATAATCATAGAATATAAATTGATTGATGTATTGTTATAAACATGTAGGTTCAGTGAGTCTTAAGATAACCTCAGTGACAACGGTGTTCAGTTGGCACATTTTTAAAACTTAAGCAGAGTTAGCAATGCACATTTGAATCTGAACTCATTATTTCATTAAAATAGCCATGTAATTTTCTTAGCCAACTGTACAGAATTGATTGCCCCCTTCCAGGATACTTCAATCTAGCATACTATCCTGAAATCTCCTTTTACTGTAATCGTCCTTTTAAATGCTAACTATATTTGACTTTTTTTTTTGCTTTTTTGAGAGCAGCTATCTAAAGTACTGTCACCTAACTGAGCATTAAAAAAAATCACATTAGCATTGAATCTTCTCTGTTTGAAAGCCCAATAGATACTGTCCACAGATCACTTTTTGGAACATCCACTTTCTTAGAATCATTTTGAATGCCTATTAAGTTAAAAAAAGCCATGTTTTTTAAAAAATAATTTCATAAAGAATCATAGCTCTCTTATAATAACAAGTGGCTACATAGCTTAGGATTATTGAACAATTATTATTGTAAAATCCCCAACAGTTCATCAAAATGTTTGGAAAGTCTCTGCAGATTAAGCAAAAATGTTGCTAGCAAATCTTGAGCATCAATTGATTATTCTGGTTTTATCTCTTTTTCAGAAATCAAGTACAGGAAATGTTTGATCATGCCTATAGTAATTACATGGTAAGTGCAATGTTTACATTATTTTAATGTTAAATAACAGTTTTTTACATAAACTATACATGATGAACTCTTGCTAGTATATTTTTAATTAATCATGATTTAATGCAAGGTTGGCCAGCTCATCACCTGGATAGTAATAGACAAGCAGTGCTCTACTTTCATTCTGATACTGTTTTTGGAATCTGGTTTTTGTTTCTTTCCTTAGTGTATTAAGCTTAAGAGAAACCTCCATCCTAATATTTTTCCCCCCTGCAAACAATGGGGAGAGATCATATTTTCATTCCTTCATAGTTTAATTAACAACATTCAGTGGCAAGTCTCCAAAAACGGGATTTGGGGCCCACAGATGATTGGCAGACTATTGGATCCTCATTCTTGTACTAAAATACAATAAAGGGTCATAATTATTGTTTGATGTAATATGCTGAATCATACTATCAGCAACTTAAAAACTGGTTCACAGTGCATTGTGTTAATGTATGGTTTGGCCTGATGTATTATTTACAGTGAATTACACTGCAGTTCGTTCTTGTTTAATTGTTAGGCTATTTACGTGTTGAGATTTAAAATTTACTAATTTTGAATGCTAAAATATTCAACTGGGACTCACTGTTTCCTTGGTTTTCAATCTGTTTTATGTATTTCATAGGACGGAACTGGCACATTTATGCCTTACTGTATTTTTAAGTATGGTACACGTAATTGCAAATAAAATATGCATAAAATTGTATATATTTTTTTGTGCTGGGGAGAACCTAGGGCATGTGGTCATTCTTTTACACTGTGTTGTGAAAAGGCTTTTTATCATTTGTGAGCTGGCAAAGAATGTCTGTACTTGTAGCATGAATTATTTGTATTATACTTAAGGAAGTATGAGACTTGGCACATCCTGGAAGCTTATATGTCAAAAGGATATTTATTTAGTGTGAGTCCTAAAACAAATAGAATTTGTGAGTATATTGAATTTGGCACACAAGAATAAAGGATTTCAACATTTTTTTTGGATGATGCTAATCTTGATTCTATGGATCAGTTCTTTCCTCATTTTCCAATCTTGTAAGACTTTTTACTTGATTTTTTTTTTTTTACAATAATGTAGCAAAATTCTATTCTAGAAATAGATTTTATTACTAAAGTTACTTGAAAATGTGCTTTTCTACTTTTAAAAAGGGGAATGTTCATTACGTCTTGCTTTATATATCATACATGCCTTCAATGAAAAGTTCCATTTCTTCACTGATTTTTGTAAAAGAATTGCATAGTGCTCATAGTTACACATTCTACTTCGGTTTTGATGTTGCTCACTTAGTGATAAGGAGAGAAGGATATTTAGATGGATTTAAAAATACAATCCAGTTGATTATTTGCCCTACACCCTCTTGTCTACAGTATATCCATAAAAGCCTAGTGCAGTGTTTCTCAACCTTGGCGACTTTCAGTCCTTTGGACTTCAACTCCCAGAATTCCCCCAGCCAGCTATGCTATGCTGGCTGGGGGATTCTGGGAGTTGAAGTCCAAAGGACTGAAAGTCGCCAAGGTTGAGAAACACTGGGTTAGATCCAAATAATGAAGTGATTACAGAAACCAAGCCAAACCCTAATGAAGATGATGAGAAACCAGGATTGGATAATAAAAATGAGTTGTCTACTGAAGAGAGAGTAGTAGAGAAGGAACAAGTGAAAATAGAAAGTCCGGTGATAAGTCCTGAGTTACCAAGGCTAACAACACGAGTAACTAGGCCACCTGATAGGTATCGGGCAACTATGGCTTATCAGGTTAACCAAGTTCCTGCAACATACCATGAATTGACCACATTTCCTCTAGAACAGTGTTTCTCAACCTTAGCAACTTGAAGATGTCTGGACTTCAACTCCCAGAATCCCCCAGCCAGCATAGCATAGCTGGCTGGGGGAATTCTGGGAGTTGAA